TATGCTCTTGTATTTTATTCTTTTAAAAAATCTATTATCTTTGAAGATAACAAAAATAACTTTTTTAAAGCATGTAATGCAGAAGAGCAAATATATAATATTTTTAGATGGTTTGGAATCATCCAGAAGATGAGGACAGATTGAGGTATGCCCTTAGCTACTTGGTCATTATGAATTCAGATATGTCTTCATCCAGATAAATTGTAAAATAAAATAAAAACCCCATGCAAAGCAAATACTCTACTGCTAAGCTGCAAGCCTTCCCCATAAAGGGGAACTGGAGAAAAGGAGGAGTATGGGAGTGTCAGCTAGGCAAGTAACCACACACACAACTACAGACAAAACATTAAACTTATCCAAACATTCCAAACATTGTATCAAGGGAGGGAAATACATAAATGAACAATGAGTCCTTGTTACACACTTTGGAAAGAATATATCAATAAATGCCAAGCATAAGGACTGATTACATCAGCAGACTTGCAAAGTTAACAGCCTTCTTTAAACCTTGGAGGGAGTCAATGACATGATATATAAAGAAAGAAAATCTGAAATATCAAGATAAGGTTCAGGATAACAAAAAGAAGTGAACAGAAGTTGGTTTACGTTCTGGTGAGGAATTAACGAAAGAAATCAAGGGAAACAGTTGATCATAAAATTTATCTCCAGTAATGCTGCCTCTGAGCACTGTACCATCTTGTGCTAATTCGTCTACAAGTGTAACCTTCTAAACCCTATTGTACCAGTTTTCCAAAGTTAGCAAATCATCCCTTCTCCATAAGAAGGCAATCTCCATCAAGCTGCTACAAGGAAATGGATTATTAATGCCTTAAATTTCTTTCTTTGCTCCTTGAAATAAGGCCAAGCCTGTAATATTCAGAATTTTAGAAATCATGTGGAACACACTGTCCCAAAACCAAATGGGTTATTATGTTAAAGTGACTTGCTTTAGGGCAATGTAGTTTTCATCAACTCCTCCCCCAAAGATGTCCTGTATGTCATTGAAATTAAATAAGGTATTCCTTTGAATAAACTTCAGAAGTTCCCATGACGTCAGTTCTATATGTTCTGTTACCTGCTTATAAGTATCAGGTGGACCACCGGATTTCTAAGTCTATAAAATCAGTCACTTAACTCAAAGCACACATCAAATCCAAGTTGCACTGAACTTATTTTTAGCCCACAGATCAGCAATGTACAAGGAGAATCAAGAAAAATGCATAGGATATGCATAGCAAAAGGTAGATTATTTATCTTGGCATCTTCTCCAAATCCATATTACCTTACAGTGTGAATATCTATGTGTGTTAGATTACTCTCTAGCTTTCCACATCTTTAACTAACAAAGTTATTAGTATAATTTAGTCTGGCCAATTTGGAAAAATTCACAGTGACATCTTTTGCTGCACCAGGCTAAGACTGAATATGAAGAAAATTATTGAATTAACTGCATGACTTCAGTATCTGTCAGGTGTTTCCCTCACCATCCACTACTCAGTTCACCATCTCGCTGGCATTGGCCCTACCAAAAGGTCATGGCACATCTAGGGGTGGACCTGCAAGTGAGGAGATACTGGGTAGGCTGTGGCACGATGCCTACTGAAAGTGGCACAAGGCCCATTGGTAGGCTATGGACCACTTGTTTGGGGAAGCAGTGACTTACTTTGGTCAGGAACAACAAATGATCACAGGGACTCACCGGCAAGGGCTCAACACCAGACACTTACTGAGCCCAGAATCTGGCAAAGGACTCAACAGTGGGCCCAATTTCCCACTGTCCAGCAGGAGAAGTACATTTTGGCAGAAGAAGTAACACTGCAATGCTACATTGCCACCCTCAGGTAACTCCTTCAAGGGTAAATGGGAGGTGCATTGTTTCTTGGGCAACAGAAGAAGAGGTCTGCTGGAGCCATCTTAGTTCAGCATCCTGTTCTCACACTTGGCCAACCACACTTGCCCATTTGTGATTCTCAGCATCTGGTATATAGAGACATATTGCCTCTGACAATGGATACAGGACATCACTTTTAACGTCTTTCAATATGAATTGTGTGAAATGCTTTTCAGTGTCTTGAATCTTCAAACATTCAACTTCACTGGATGGCCATGAATTCTAGTATTAAGGAGATAAAAAACTTTTATTTAGCTTATTTCTTCCACATCAATACATAATTTTACACTATCATCTCCCTCCCCACCCCGTACTCGCCATTTTTCTAAACTAAAGAGCCTGAAATGTTGTAGTTGCTTCATACCCTTGATTGTTTTGGTTGCCCTTTTTCTGAAATTTTTTCCAGTTCTACATGCTTTTTGCAGTGAGGCAGCCAGAACTGTACACAATATTCTGTGTGTGGTCTCACTATAGATGACATTAAGATGTTGGCAGAATTTATTTTCAATCCCTTTCCTAATGATTCCCTAACATGGAAATCACTACTTTTCCACAGCAGTTTGTTAGGACTGGGGAATATATTGGTTTGAAGTTCGCATTGCGATAACTGTTTCATAATATTTGACCTGGTAATATATCGCTAATCACGACATGTGTGAAAGCTGGGCAAATATCTGGTTTTTAAACATCGCAATACATCACCAGCTAAATATTGCAATCTACCACAATGTCCAAAATAAGGATGAAACAATGCAGAGGCGAACGGGACAATGTCCTGGCAACTGCTACTACTTAGGGATGACGATATTACCAATCACCACACGGTCACTTTCATCAGCAGGCCAAACCAAAATGCATCCAGGCAGGTTTGGGGCTTCAAGCAACGGATCTGATTGCCTTGGCTAATCGTACTGAGGTGGAACGTCCTTCAACTGAGGGCAGAAGAGAAGCTACCGGCGGCTTCGCCGGCTCTTACTGAGCAGACTCCGAGGGGAGCTGCGCATGCTCAGTTGACCTAGCGCATTATTTCGCTGACGCCTTGGCGCTCTTTCTCTCTCGATCCGGACTTGACAGCGACTTCTCTGAGCGCAGGAAGCGGGCGGGCGGCAGGAAGGAAGCCCCGCCCCCGCCTTCCTTTTGTCCTTAGTTCGATTGCGCGCGGGTTATGTGTGACGTTACCCCGGGCCCGGAAGTGGAACTCTCGAAATTCGCCTCTCGTCTGTGGAGCTGAGGGGAAAGGAAAGGGCGGGAAAAAGGGGAAGGCAAAGCGAGCAAGCGAGGGCGGGACAACCCTCCCACCCCCATTACAAAACAGTGAGGCGAGAACCAGCGGCGGCGCGTCTCCCGGTAACAAGCCTTGGCCACGCCCCTCCCCTCCCTCCACCGGGAAGGGCGGCAGCAGGTACGTTGCAGCCGTTGCGCCCGAGGTTTGCGCGCGCCAACGGCCGCCCTTCCCTCGCTCCCCCCCCCCCGCTGAGGAGAATGGCAGAGGCTCACCTCACCCCCCTCCCTCAGGTGTTGTGCGTGTGTCCGTGTGTGAAAGAGAATAGGACTGACAGGTTGGAGGCGGCGGAGGGGAAGCTGCCTTCTCCCGGCTACTGGCCGCCTCCCTTCCGCCGCGGGCTGCGTGGCCTTCAGCCGAGGGGAGCGAGCCTGCGCCTGACCACAGGCGCGGGGGCACCGTCTCTTGCCTTCCCGCCTCTGAAGGTGGCGGCACCTCGCGTGTCCACCTCGGGCGGAGCGCCGCTGCCTTTGAGCTGTAGCTGCCCTCGCTCTTGTTCTTCCTCCTGGTTGGCTGCTGCGACCAGGAAGTACAAGGTGGCCGCCGCGTCAGAAATCACAGGAGTCCCTTTTCCTTTCAAGCTGCTTCGCCCAACGTTGTTTCCTGGCTCTGGCGCTCTGCTCTGGGGGCGGGGAGAATTGGGCTTGTCGCTCAGAGAAAAAAAGATCGCCAGACCTTGGCCCCGGGAAAGGGAGGGAGAGGATGGCAGGAGCCTGTCATTGGCCTCTTTTAAAAAATGGTTCCTCTTCACATTTGGCATATAGTCCGTGTTTGCTGCTCAGCCGAGTGCCTTAAAATGTATGCATAACAATCAGGATCTCGCTGCGCTGTGATGTTTTGCTGTTGTCACTTTTACCAGGCAGCAGCTGGATTCCCCACACTATATCCCTCCCCCATAGGAATTCCTTTTTCACCTGACAGTAATGTAAATGCTGAGTCATCTTTTACTTCTTTCCCAAACTTGGCTTGCTATGTAAAAACATAAACAATTGTCGTATAAATGAAATTAAAACGTTCACCTGGTACGTTTCTGATTGCTAGATTAGTCATTTGAGCTCTGTCCAAAATTCTCTAGCTGGTTCGGGTAGGTTATGTAGTATTGCTTAGCAACATGTGAGTTGCAGGTCTTTTGTGTTTCCCACAGTCTTGACTTTTTTTGGGGGTGGGGGGTGGCAAAAGAGTGCTAGCTTTTGGAAAGGTTGTGGCCAGAAATGTAGAGGCATTGCAAAGCTGACTTAAAAGGTAAGAGACTTGAAACAGGAGCCTGAGCAACAATAACAGTCCTGTTGAACATGGGGGGGGGGCCTTGTATGCCAGGGCTGTGAGGGTATATTTCACAGATGTCTGGACTTGCCACAGAAAATTGAGGCTGAGAAATGCACTCAGGCAGGCTTGCATAAAATAAATGCTGCACTTGGTCATTCTTGTTTTTGCATACACACACACACATACGCCCTTCATTATATCAGATTTCAAACTGGTGTGCAGCATAAAAGCAAAACTCACAAGAAATGAGATCAACGTTTTAAACAGTCTGGGCCATGCTAGATTAAATCAGTAAAAATTAATTAAATTATTTGCAAGGTTGAGGCATTAATATCAGTATTTACTAGCAGCTGTTACCTTTTAATATATTGCTGCCTACTGCTTCTGAGCTCCCTCACTCAAGTTCATTGCATTTACATTGTTTGATGTCAAAGAGTTTGTATACATGCTTAACTGCTGTCTGTTGAGAGGGAATGTCAAGATATTAATTAAAATAGTGCAGATACTTGAAAGCAAGTCAGGTATTTATAATGGTCAACTGACTAATAAGATAAAAGTATAAAATATAAAATCACAGTTGCAATAAAAGCAAGCTAATATTAACTGTTTTGTGGGTGTATTTTTCTGACCCCATTAAGAAAACTGCCCTGGGTTAGAGGAAATAAGGTTTCTTCTAATCTATTGGCACACAACACATTTTCTTAACCTTTCGCTGACCTATGACAAAACAATTGGGTGTTTTACTACCCCCAATCTGCTAACATTGACTGGTGTAGTAAACACACACCCCAAGGACAAAATTCATTTTATGCTACAAATGGTTTTTTGTTTCCAGAAGGAAAATGGTATGTGGTTAGTGGCTGAAATTTAGGGACCTAAAGGTGAGAATTTCTGTCAGTATCCTAGAAGAAATACCCTGTAGGTCTACTTAATGTGTGAATTGCACAATGAAAAGTGTGCTGTGGGAGGCCCACAGATTGGATGAATGAGAAAGAATTGAAAGGTTGGAAAAGGAGCTGATAATAGTTGAGACAAAAATGTGGAAGGCTAGGGTGCAAATTCTGAAGCTAATGTTGATCATCATGATCCTGCTCTGCTATAGGATCTCAAGCTTTAGCTAACTGAGTGTTGAGGCCTAGCACAGTCAGCTGTGGCCAGAAGGGGAGAGCCCTACAGCTTTGTGTCACGGATATTGTGGGACTGGAGATGGACAGAGTCAAGGAAGAGTGGGAGTGGGTAAAAGATGGAAAAATAAGGTTAGAAGAAAGTGGCTGTAAATGGAAATTCATATTGGATATTTCCAGTCTTACAGAAGAAGCTGTGGGCAAAGAGCTGCGGGATGAATGTAGGTTTAAAGGGTGAGCAAGATTAAGGATATGAGCTGGGGACTACTGCAGGAAGAGAATCGAAGCCCTGCAGACTTGGGGCTAGGTGATGCATGGCATCACAATTCATTCCTATTCGGTTAAGACATTGCTCTTAGAGCACAGGCACATTCTGTTCCATTGGAAGGTGCTGTCCTGCTCAGCTTGCAGAAAACATTGTATCTTTTCTCAATTAAAAAAAGTATTTTAGCTTTTATGGAGCGGCTCCAAGAACTTCTAGATTATCTAGATTATTAGAACAATCTAGATTATCTAGATTACTTCCAGTCTGTTTTGTGACTTGGGTTAGGCATAGAAACTTTCTTGATCACCTTTGGTTATGTTCTGTGCCAGGAGATGGATAAAGGAAATGTGACCCTATTTTCTTGAATCTCCAACTGACTCTAGTATCCTTCTAGACCACCTTGAAGGGAAGGGAATTGGAGTACAGTGTTGATGTATATCTGCTCATTCCTGCAGATAGGACTCAGAAGGTGGCTGCTGGGGAACAGCTGCTGTTCCCCTTGGTTTATGGGGTTTGGCAAGGTTAAGGTTAAGTTTTGTGCCCATGCTACAAGAAAAGGTCTAGAGATTTGAATACAATCTCATCATGATGCTTATGACACCCAGCTCTCTCTCTAATTTTCACTTGATTCTAAAGAGGCAGTTGGTAGATGTGAAAGCCTGGAAAAGGTGGAGCAAGCTGCATCTTAATCTAGACAAAACAGAAGTACTGCTGGTGGTGAGACCATCTGATTTCAGTTTGGATTTACAGACTATCTTGGAAATTGCAATTTGTACAAAATGCTACATCTAGGTTACTGATGGTTGCTAGGTGCTTTAATTGCCATATAGTGGATTTCCCATGACTTATATTAGCTGGTAGTTTGTTTCAGGGTTCAATTCAATGTGCTGGTATTAAACTTTAAAGCAAAACATCTTGGGACTTGGACATCTTTTCCCTTATGTTACTTTCAGCATGCTTTGATCATCATCTGAGGCCTTTCTTCAGATCTCTCTTATAAGGTACAGTGGTACCTTGGGTTACAGACGCTTCAGGTTACAGACTCCACTAACCCAGAAATAGTACGGTAACTCGGGTTAAGAACTTTGCTTCAGGATGAGAACAGAAATCGTGCTTTGGTGGTGTGGCGGCAGCAGCAGCAGGAGGCCCCATTAGCTAAAGTGGTGCTTCAGGTTAAGAACAGTTTCAGGTTAAGACCAGACCTCCAGAACGAATTAAGTTCTTAACCCGAGGTACTATTTCTGGTTTAACAGAGTCTGTAACCTGAAGCGTATGCAACCTGAAGCGTATGTAACCCGAGGTACCTCTGTACAGCTGATGACAACCAGAGCTTGTTTATTCTTTTAGGTGGTGCCTATCCTGTGGAATGCCTTGCCAAACAATTTGTGCCAAGTCCTGTCACTGTATGTTTTCAAGCTGCTGGTAGAGGCCTGGCTGTTGAAAATGACCTTTGGCTGATCATTTTCCTGTTTGTGCTTTGCTGTGTTGGAATTATTACTGTGTTTTTTGTTGCGATGGTTTCTGTAATTGGTTTTAACTTGAGGATTGTTTCATATTAGAAATATTGTTCTGTTGTTTTTTGTTTTGCCTATTTTAGAGACTGCAAGGTAGAGTACCTTAGGTGAGATACAATAAATTAAATTAAATACAGTTTTACACTGCTGATCATTTTCAAGAAACATTCTGAAGTGGAACCAAACTGACTGCAAATTCTGAACTTTCTTTAATTTTTCAGCTCATCCTCCCAAGATTGATGCATGTTCCCTCCATTATTTTAATCTGGCTGAGAATTTGGATAAGCATGGCACAGCTTCAACAGGGAGGTCCTGATGAAAAAGAGAAGACTACAGCATTAAAGGGTACAAATTAATTTGGAACTTCTCCTCCATAGGCACTCCGTAGACTTTGCTCTGATGAACTATAATTGTGTGATTAGTGAAACAGGTGAGCAAGTGCAAATGAGTGCAACCCACATCCTCAGCTGTTATACATTTCTTACCACTGCCTGTCTAGGTTTCTTTTTTCTTTGTCTGGAAAAGGAAGCCAATGCACACAGTGGGAATGCTGTTACCTGTATACAGAGATGTGAACAACGCACCCCCTAGTCTTTCCTACCAAATCCAGAAATGGAAAAAACTGGAAAATCTGGGGAAACTAAAATACAATGTTGTATACAATATTCTATTTTCCAAATGATGAGTAAAATATTTCTTTAAAACAGTGTTTTAAATAATATTGTTACACCCAGTTCACATTGCTGCAAAACTCTTAGAGCCTAGATTCAGTGATGTGCATTGTAGTCAGGCATATCCAGAAATGAAGTGAGATGGCACAAAGGTATTTGGGGCATATTAGAGGTGAAATGGGATCTCTACAAGGTGCCAGGTTGAAGCAGGGACCCTTGATGCACTTGGTGGCACCTTGTTAATGTGGACATCAGAATAATAATGCAGACAGATGTCTGCTGAAAAAGTAATGAGTGGTATTCAACTAAGTTTTACTCAGAGTAGACCAAATGAAACTAATTGACCGTAGTCATGTTTATTAATTCCAGTGGGTCTGTTCTGAGCAAAACTTAGCTAACTGTCACCCAGAGTCTCTAAGCTTACAATAATGCCATAACAAAACTGGTTTCAGATTATAATAGCATGGAGAAATGTGAGAAGGGGGGTGGGAATATGTGTCCTTCCTTGCATGAGCAAAGTTCTCTAGATTCAATTTCGTGACTTGTGATAGTACCCGTGTTAATATAGGTTCTCTACATGAACATCTGGAGTAAATGGATGCACATCCTGACACTGACAATGTATGTGTCATTGTGGATGCATTTTATCAATGAATCCAAGTCATATTGAACATCTTTTACTTTAGTCAATATGGGACCAATATGCTCCATGTTTCCTGTTACATATGCTATGGAAATGAAAAGTGTGTGGGCCATCCTGACATACGATAGTGCAAAGCAAATGCTTTTCTCTCCCTCCCTGCCCCAAATATCTTAAGTTACAAATAAGCCACACTCGTGATTGCATAGTGTACGTGAAATTCTATTGAGCACTGGTGCAAAAAGCAAAGCAAAACTAACGGAAACAAAACAGTACAGAGTGATTGGCTATTGCTTAAACCTCATCCTTTGCAACTCCACTGTCACCTATCAATCACAATATTGTGACTGGTAATATCTGATAATGCAGCTATACAGAAGACACCAGCCAAAGTGTGACTGCAGAAATTGCTCAGTGCTTTCCAACAACCTGGTCAAAGCCTTCTCCCCAAGTGAATGCTGAAACACACTCCTAGGAAGAGCCCACTGTGTTCCCACCCACATTAGATGCTTCCATGGCCCACTGTGTATAAGAACAGCAAATAATAACTTAGTGTATGGGTTCAGCATGCAGACCTCTGGATTATTCATGTGGGCCTTCTACTTACTAAGTGGGCTGCGTGTTTTTGCCATTTTGGTGTGTAGGACTAACACGTTGTTTGATGATCAGATCTGAGCTAGGCCATCGCCCCCTGCTACATTACTAACTTCACATGTTTCTGTTTGCTCTGACAATGTCCTTCCAGATTAGTGGTTATGCCAACAATACTTTCCACTGGGATAAATTCAAAATGTTCCATGTGCTTTCCACAGCAAAGCAAAATTTTATAGTGACTGATCCTTTTTCTTCTCAGTAAGGATTAGTTTGGGGTAGCATCACTCTGTAAATAGGAGTGAGGAAACCTCTGCTGCTTTCCCCCCAAAATAACAGATTCCTCGGAAAACATTTCAGATGTGTTACCATATGCCCTTTGGCAATGTAGAAGACTGTACTGCCTTGATTTTGAAATTACAAGAATAGTAGAAATGAAAAGTTGGACAGTTTCTAAGTAAGTTTCATTCAAAAGTACTTCATTGTTGTCTCTGGCAGCCTTCACATTGCTTCAGTTACTCTTGCATTATCACTCCCTCCAATAGCAAACTTTGTGGTTGAGTGTTGGCAGATATGGAGCCAAAATGAGTCAACTGAGAAAGAAGAGGGAGGTAACAACTAATCTTTGGGGGAAACCTGAAGTTGGGCATGATGATACACTGCAACACTTTGCTGCTGGTTCCTCTTGTTATGATCAAATGGTCTATGTATGTAGAAACCTGTCATTGGGATGGATTAATAATTGTCCATCTAATATTATCTGTTATTCAAAGGAGTACTGAAATCCAAATAAAAACTTGTTCAATGTATTCTAGAATACATTTTTTAAAAAAGACACTTAAAAAAGAAGAAGGGCAAGTAATTAACTGAATTTGCAGTCTACAGAAAGACAAATTTCTTCCCCACCCTTTTTCAGATTTGTTGTCTAGAATAGACTTGGATGAACTGATGAAAAAAGATGAGCCACCTCTTGAGTTTCCTGATACACTTGAAGGATTTGAATATGCTTTTAATGAAAGTAAGTAATGAATGCTGTAAGAACTCATTTAGAAGTGATTGAATATTAATATTTCCCCCCAGAACTTTGATTCGTATCTTGCTGTTTGAGTCTGATTTCTTTGTACAACTGTTTTAAACAATGCAACTAAAGTAATAGTCTCAAGTATTCAAATACATCCTGTTTTCATCTGATCACAAATAACACATTTTATGTTGCTGTAGTTTTTCCTTGGGCCATTCTAAACATAGGAACACAGTTGCTCCGAATGGTAGTGGTGCCTCACTGAAAATTTTTGTTCAATTTTTTTCCAAGGCAATGGTTCCCAAGCTTTTTCAGGCCACTGCCCTCTTGGTTCTGTAAACTCATCATCAGTGCCCCTACCGAACACTATCAAAAGCCTTATTCAGAATAGTGGTTTTCACGACCCATTAAGAAAGATAATAGCACAATAAAAGCAATACAGTAACAAGTAATTTCACTTTTACTCAAAATTCTAATTCAGTAAAATTGATTAACTTGATCTAGTGATATCAACTTTCCCAAGTGATAGTCATTTGCACACCAAGTGCCTTCCTGCCATGCTCTTGCCTACTAGTACCCCGTAAGTACCATATTTTTTGCTCTATAAGACTCACTTTTTCCCTTCTAAAAAGTAAGGGGAAATGTGTGTGCATCTTATGGAACGAATGCAGGCTGCGCAGCTATCACAGAAGCCAGAACAGCAAGAGGGATTGCTGCTTTCACTGAACAGTGATTCCTCTTGCTGTTCTGGCTTATGAGATTCAGAATATTTTTTTTCTTGTTTTGCTCCTCCCAAAACTAGGTGTGTCTTGTGGTCTGGTGCGTCTTATAGAGCGAAAAATACGGTAATCTCATTGGCCCCCAGGGGGTGGTACCGCCCACTTTGGGAAACACTAACATGTTAGTTTGTAGGTAGCCTGCTTAACTTCAGTGTTTGTTGTTGTTGTTCTTATATATTTATACCCCACATTTTTCCATGACGGGCTCAAGGTGACTTACATTTAAAATAAGAACAGCTGAAAACATAGTGGGGGAAATAATAACAAATCCATCATCATCATCATCTTAATTATTTACTATATATTACTATGTAATGTATTATTATGCAATATATTTGGAATCAGGATATTGTGCTGTCATAGCAGCTGTGATCTCAAACATAGCTCAAAGCAAATGTAGTTGATTTTAATGAGAATTGTTTCCAGAGTTGCCATGAACCTGACCTATGTCTAGCTTTGCATGCCTGCAATTGCTCACTGGAAATAAATGAAGAAGCTTTTGGAAGTAATTTATTTATTTGTTTATTTTATTAAGTTTGTATATAGCCCTTTATCTGTAGATCTCAGAGTAGTCCACAACATAAAAATACAAGATAAAAACACAAAATAATAAAATAGGGGGTCCACAAATTAATATACCCCATCCCGGCACACCATTCCACAAACACATTTAAAAGGGTATAGGATGTTAATCAGTAAAAAGCCTGGTTGAAGAACATTTTTGCTTGGCATCTAAAGGTGTATAATGAAGGCACCAGCTGAACCTCCCTGGGGAGAGCATTCCACAAGTTGAGAGAGTTTTTTGTTTGCAACAAAATTCTTGTGCTTTTAGAAGATGGTTGGAGTAATGGCAATTTATGCTGCTGCTTACTCTTTAAGAATACAAAGCATGTAAGTCTCAGAGTTGCCCCTGGAGGGAAAATCTTAAGTAGTTTTCATCATACTTTGTATTAGATCTCATATGGAAGCCAGATTTTTGGAACACTTTAAAAGGCAAGATTGTCACCTTAGACAAGACGCATGTAGTCTTGCAAGGGTTCAACTATGTTTCAGCTGCTTAAATTGAGCTGTTGTGCGGCCATGTTCAACAAGTTTATAATTTGTCCATGGTTTAAATTTACATTTAAAGGTACAAAACACACCCAAGAACTGTTTACTGAATTAACCCCCTCCTTTTTAATTGCTTTTGTTTAGGAAACTAATTAAGGCTTTGATGTTGTCAACCATAAGTTGCCCAACTTTGAAGTGGAATTGTGCAGTTCATGCTAGCTAGCCCAAGGGCCTGGCTCAGGAAAGTTCCTCAGCCTTAAGCCTTGGAGAATTGTATAGTCACTGAACTAATCCAAAAGACTCTTACCACCCTATAAAAAGGGTCTTCTGCCTGCCTTCTGTGTAACTTATCTTTGACTTAATAGGTTGTTAAGCAGATGTCCTAATGGACTTTTTTGGATTCCTAATGGTCAGTTAATTAGGAGACTTAAGTCTCAGACAAGCCCTAAAAGGGTAAGCCTGTGAAGCTCTGGCCTTGGCAGAAAAAGCCCCTTCTTCATTCCCTACCATACTAGGAAACACTGCATACCTTCTAAGGCTATGTATACCAAAGGGGTCTGCCTTAAGCCTGTCCTGTCCTGTCCTTAAGCTAGTTTAAAAGCACCTCTGTATATATTTATTTTTAATCTCTGGTATTGCATCTGTTTCAGGACTTGAGATTTGATGCAGTAAGCAGGTTCCAAGAGGAAGGCTGAAATGCTATACACATTTACTAGGAAATAATCACTGTGGAACCCACTAGGTCATTTCATTGTAAATATAATAAGATTCCACTACGCAGTATTAGTCTCCATCTGTCACTGAAAGCCAGTAAGGAAGTACCTTTGGGGAGAGTTTAAATTCCTTTTCCAAGTAGTCCACATCCAGGTGGTGTGTGTATGCAGCTGCTTTTTGTAAAGGAAGAGAGTTAGCCTATTCTAAGATGGTAGTTAAAAATGTTTTTAATGTAACATAGTTTGGCCCTGAGCTTCTATAAGCAGCAAATACATGGAGCACTTTGTATGAGGTTCCACAGTGGAAGGGAGTAAGCATAGGAAATGTGCAGTATGTAAGTTAAGTAAATTCCATGCCATTCAGGTTCAAAATTTGTATTTTGAGTTGTAGTCAGATAACAGGAAGTGTAAAAATGGACTATTGATGTACACCCACAAATCCAATTCTTTCTGGGCATACCAGCTGAAGCTTCTACACCTTCCATAAGCAGCCTTGTACAAAGCACATGTCTTGATATCCTTGGGGGATATTGCAAAGCAGAAATCTGACAAGAGAGCTGTAGCTTTCTCCCTAGAAATCTTAATGCTGCATGTGAAATAGAAATCTGTCATAACCATTGCTATCCAGCTGGCTATCACTGAGTTGAGTGTCCTGATAAGTCATAGAAATAAAGGCTGTCTACAACCATAACATGGGGTTTTTTGGCTCTAAAACATGTGGCTTGTAAGAGACAGCATACTGAAAGATGTGTATTACTCTTGACATGAAGTAGTTCCTATATTCTGAATAAGAAAACAACCCAAAACCTTGAGCTTCTTAATATTGTCTCATACCTTCCAATTTTATGGGGAAAAGCTTTTCTTTAAATGTAGTCATTTATGCAACACTTAGCTTTTTAATACCCTGATGACTTTCATAGGAAGGTACTTAGAAACCAAAAGTGTCATGAAAGTGATGCTATTTGAAAGGAGTGGTTCAACTTTTACTTTTCAGCTTCTTATTTTTAGAGCAGTACAATCTCTACTGTTTCCTTTCTAGAGTGCACATTTAATAGTGTAGGTCTGATTGCTAAGATGACTTGAAATCTGAATATGAATCTATGATATAGACTTTGAGTAGAATTGTTAAGGACAAGTGAACACATCCCTGTTCCCACTTCCGTCAAATTGGCATGTTTGGCTGGAATTTTTCATGTGTGCACTAATGCATTTTGACTATTGATTATGTTTCTGTATTTGAAGGAAAGGGGTGTGTCTTATTCTGATTGGCAAAGCAATAATGAAATTTTAGTAAGTGATGTTTCAGTGACGCTTAAGAGAACTTGAAAATACACTACAATTCTTACTAGACAATATGCTGTGATTTCCTTAGGGAGAGAGGAACTTCACCAATAACCAGCCTTAAAAATGAGCATAGAAACTGAGTGTAGAATTAAAAAAATTAGAAGCCTTGGACGAAGCATAGAGTATGATATGCCATGAAGAAAGGGGTAATGTGACCTGAGATATTGGATATGAAGTTGGGGAGGATCATTCCCCCTGGAGGTTAGTAATTGGGAAAAGTACACTGAAACTGAGGTAATGACAGTGCTGAGAAAGAAAACTACTTTGATTTCTCTCTATTCACACTAGTAATTAGTATATTCACAGGCAGAGATACTGCAGATAATACAAAGTTCTCACTTATTTTGAGGCTTCAAGACTTTTCCAAGCAAATAATAAAAAGACTTTCATGTACAAAACTGTCTTTGCTGGGGCAAAGAAAAAAATAATTAACCTTTATCTTTCCCATTAAGATAATTTCTAGTAATTTAAACCCTGCTTTTACATTCAGATATTTCAGGATTTGGAGTAATAAGTCTTAGATACTCTTTTAATAATATTTTTTCTTTCAAGTTTCATTGTGACTAAAATGTTTTTCAGAGAAAACATTTGGCAGTTTCTAGCATTTCTGCTCTCTACTATTTTTGCATTTCCTTTGATCTTTGAACTTATCTTGTCATGTATTAACCTACTTTGATATTATCAGTAATTAGGTAGCATCTGAAGAGAACAGTAATGCATGAAAATAGTTATGGTTTGCACCAAAGTTAATGTAATTATAGTATTCCCATATTTTGAGACTTCTTAGATTTCACCTGTACTTGTTTTCCCATTTAAATGCAGTGTGTCAGTTAAGTTATTTTTTTTCTGTAGCTGCTTTACACATTTTTTCAAGATACAAAGATGTAGGAAAACATTAGTATAAGTGATACACATTGCTAATTGATACAATAGCATTGTGAACATTGCCCTATAGTCTGAGATCCACAGTGTTCAATATAGCATGGTACATGCTATTCAGATTTGAATTAGGATGGCTTCCTTAATTATCAAATCTTATATTTGAATTTCAGCTTCGGCCAAATATGTAGGAGCACTGAAAAATAAATGCTGGATTTTTTTTTATAAAGCATTTCATTTTCTCTGGGTCTTCCTATACCTACTGTGAATATGATCTAGAAATGTGTGCTTATTATAGTATTGCCCATTTTCTTTGAATGTTCTCATAGAATTAGATTCTGAGAATTGGAAAGATGCTCACTGTAGGGAATTTCCTGTACCTTCCTCAGCTTCTCGACCTGTATTCTGCAAGGTGGTTTTGTCAGATTTTCCTGATTACCCTTTGCCCAGCACTCACTCATGTCCCATCCCAGGTTCCTTCTGAAAGGGCCTTCAGCTATCAGGAGTGGCTTTTCCTAGAGAGGAGGAGATGGGGAAGTCTTTTTTGCTCATGGTTTTCAGCATTCAACCCATGAATACTTCTGCACAGTGAACAGTTTAATTTTTCCACAGTGAACTATTCTCTCCACTTATAAAGCTCATGTAAAAGGTTTTTGGGAAAGTGTATATAATGAAATGAAGAGAATTTTAAGATACACTTTTGAAAAAAAACCTGAGGCTTTCCTGTTAGGATTAGTAGGAAGGGAGATAAAGAATAAAGACTGTAAATTGTTCCAATATGCAACAACTGCAGCAAGAGTCCTGCTAGCTTCAAATTGGAAACAACAGGAAATACCGACAATTGAGGAATGGAGATTCAAACTGTTACACTACGCAGAGTTGGATAAAATGACGGGGAAAATCAGATATTTAAAAAACCAAAGGTTCCTTGATGACTGGGGGAAATTTGCGGATTAATCTGGAAAATATAAGTGAAGGACAAATAACGCTAGTGGGGTGAAAGGAGCTCTGTGAAAAGATAGGAGTATTGCCTAAAGAGAAATGGAAGAGAATGAGGTAAACATGTCAATATAAAAACAGGAAATGCGTAATTTATAAAAGAAGGTTATGGATGATTTGTGGAGAGGCTGAAGGAAGTCAAAAAGCTAAAAATCTGTGAAATAAGATGTTGAATTTCTATTTCTGTTTGTTTCGGTGTATAACTAATAAAAATTATGCATGCAAAAAAAAAAAGCTCATGTTCTGAATCTAATATTGTTTCTTTTGTAGAGGGACAGTTAGACATAATAAAAACGGGAGACGCCATTTGTTTTAACCTACCGTGAAAGATTTTGCACAGATGAACCAAAAGCGCTATGAAGATCTTGGAGAGGTATAAACATACAAGCAATATACAGCTGTGTAATGTTGTGTTTTATATTTGTTGTGAGCATATTAACATTGTACTTTCGTTAAATGAGTGAGAGGGAAATTCAGTAACAGTGGTACCTTGGTTCTCAAATGAAATTTGTTCCGGAAGCCTGTTCAGCTTCTGAAACATTCGAAAACCAAGCGCAGCTTCCCCTTGGTTGCAAGAACTTCTTGGACTCAGTAGAAACTGTGTCGCATGTTCAGGTTCTGAAAAACGTTAAAAAATGGAAGCATTTACTTCCGGTTTTTGGTGTTCGAAAACCAAAACGTTAGCTTCCGAGACGTTCGAAAACCAAAGTACCACTGTACATGCCTGTCTAATGGCAGGTTCCTTAGAAAACTTCGTATCACCAACTGGAATAGGTGACTTTAAAGGGGGCTATATATGTGGGGGCCAATTAAAAATTTCCACAGCAGTTAATGAAAATACTTGTTTCTACAAATTTATGTCTCAACCATAACATTATTCTAATGTAACTGTTTGTGATTGGTACCCTTTTTTAAATAAACTTCATTAAGCAAAAGGAGGAAGGGGGAAAGAAATGTTCCGTATAAGTTAAACACTATTTTGTTCCAACAATTATTTGGTTTCTGTTTATGGTTCTTTAATAATATATAGCAGTTGTTAAGGCTGCAATCTTAAACACACTTGCTAAAGAGTAAGCCTTGATGAATACAGTAGGATTTACTTCTGAGTAGACATGGATATGATTGCACTGTAGAATGGTTAATATGACTCTTCAATATA